ATTATTAGATGTGTCCTGGCGGGACATCAGCTCATCCGCTCTGAGGTCTCTCATGTCAGTTTACTGTTGGTGGTCTTCAGGTGTTGGACACTCTAATGAACCAGTTAGATGAAACCCTGGAGTTGGTTCTGTCCAGAGGAAACAGTCTCACAATGGACAACAAAGTGAGTTTATAGTAGTTGCTTCTCTATTTTGTGATGGTTTGTGGTCTGTCCTTTGATTGCTCTTCTATTTTTGACAGTTCCCTCTTTTTCTTTTGAAGGTTGTTCATTTATCATTCCGTTTTCCCCCTCTGTCCTCACATAATTAATGTGGTTCATTTCTGTTCTTATGTTTCTCATGGGATTGTCCTATGCTTCTGTGGTTCCCCTAGTTCTCACGGTTTTGGTAGCTCTTCTGTGGTTCTCAATGGATCTTCTAAGGTTTCCATATAAATCTACAGTTCTTCTGTTGTTTTATAAATCTTCTATTGATTGCCTAGGAGTCTTTTATGGCTCTGTAGTGGTTCTCCTTTGATTCTTGTGTTCCTCCCATGATTATTCTGTGGTTCTCCCATGGTTCTTTGGCGGTTCTCCTCAGCTCTCAGAGTTGTTGTCAGCACTGCTGGTGGCTGAGCAGAAAGTTGGATGTTCTCTGCGTTGGCGTTTGCATGAGAAGACGTTGCAACGTTACAGCTGTCTGGCCAGACTGCTGCCGGGAGAACTGCTGCACCAGAGCTTCTCCACGCGGATCTTCATGATTCTCACCACCAATGTGAGCACTCTCAGACCCCACGGTGTCCCACAGAGGACTCAGGTGAAATCCAAGTAAGTCCGCTCTGGTTCTGTCCTGCTACAGAAGGTGTTGCCTGTGCAGAGGGAGGCAGCACGGACATTCTGCACGTTCCTGCGCTACAACCGCAAACAAGAGCAGCGTCAGGAGATGATGGAGCAACTGATCCAAGGTCCTGACAATTCTGCTGATGTTGTTGGGTTTGTCACTCTGATTCTCAAAAGCATGATCAGAAATGCAGTTCACAAAACACTTTGCAACATCTACGTGAACTAGATGATTATTTGTCCCACCATGTTGAGAAGTTGTACATGTATCAATGTGGGCGTTAGCAGAATGGCAGCAGAACAATATTGTATTTTAAAAAACTTATCTCAGTGAATGACTCCAACCTTTTGCCAATAACTATTTTAATTATCAGATCCAGCACTGCAAAGAACGTGACATTTAATATTGTCTCAGTATTAAACTGTATTGGTTTAGATCATTAAAATTGTGACTTTTTCAGTTTTATGAATGAAACCAAACTGTATCTGTGCTAAAGTAATAAATTACACACTATTAGAGTACTTTAATCAACTTTCTACCTTCCAGCAACATGAATAATGATGTAGAACTATCAGTTTGTTTAGCTCCAATTTAGTCCAGAACCACGTAGAATGGACTTGTAGTGTGTTGACAGATCTGTGCAGAAAATAGTCACAGCTGGTATTTCTGTCAGTAAAACTTGTCCTATTTTACTAAATGTACATGTTGCAGATACAGTTCAGTCTGTCAGTGGATCAAAAGATGGAAAACAGTTTGCAGACCAGACGTTTGTTACCTGCAATCACTACGAATCCCAGTCACCAAAACCAGGAAACACTTGATCAGTGGTGGGCACCAGTCTGCTAAAACACAAATCCGCTGATTGCAGACCTAAATATTTCATTTGCGCTTTAGGGGTCTTACTAATTTTTAAAATTCATAAGCAGATTTGCATTTCCTAAACTTAGAATTCAGTACTGTTAATAACTAATTTTCTACTATTCATCATTATCTTGAACAGCAGGAGGTGTGGCTGTCAATGAATCACAACACATGTGTTCTGTCCAACAGCACTTACTTGAACTTATTGGAAAGGTATACATCCTTGCTGACAGTTGCTCTCGGTCACGGTTCTCATTTCCCACAATGCTTTGTGTCTGCTTACGTAGCAGGAAGGCAATGTTTTTTTTATTATTAAACAACAAAGAGCACACAAAATAATACAATGTACAAACAATAAGGCGTATTTCAAACAAACAAACAAACTTGCATATAAGAGAAAAGGATGGGTGCAAATAAAGATAAGAAGTTTAAAAATAAGAAGGAACAACAAAGGAAAGGGGGCTAGGGTTTAGATGTTAAATCATACTCTTCAATTAAAGAGCACAGATTGTGGGCATGTTTAGTATGCATCACTTTAAGAGAATTGCAGTACAAAATAAAGTCATTGTGAAAATGATAGAAATTTGGTTTAACCTTAAGATATTTGCAGGAAGACAAGGTTTAGTACTCCCTTTCCCAGCAAAAACAGTAAACGTTTGTAATCCATACTAAAATTTTGTATGTATTGATTTATTTTTACTTTACAATCAGAGCTCCTTGGGGAAATAAAGTTTAAACGCTGGAGCTCAATACTTGACGTAATTGGTCGAAGCAATCCGCCAATGGGGTTAGACAGACATCTAGTGGTCAACTGGAGCAACTACATGGAAAACTATCGTTTCCCGTCACAAATCAAATCCATCATGTACCCAGAATGCATCGCTTCAGTTTTCCAATAAACTGTTTTGAAATTGCTTTATTGATGCTTCTTTAACGAAAAATCTATAACAAACAAAAGAAAAAGACAAAGAAGCAGCCAAACTAGCAATCCTCAACAACTTTTTAATTTTTACACCAGGAGCCAAAGTTCTGTTTCGGGAAATCACATCCCCAGCAATCGGCAATTGTAGGAATAAGCTGTATAAGGATTCATTCGCCTCTAGTTAGCAGTGTTGTACATATATTTTACATGAATTGTTGCCAGCTAGTGTTAAATTGAACTTGAGCTTTAAAATTAGCTTCTGCTAGTTTTTCTATGGCATAAGCGTTCTTGAAGTTGCGGACCTAAATATTTTCATATGTGCTTTAGAAATTGCAAAGCTAGTTTTTGGGTCAGCGTGGCCCACCACTGCACTTGATCATAAAAATCAACCTGTTTTTTTTTATCAGTTATTATGGTGTCAGTTTCAGTTTCCAAAACCACGTCTAAGTGAAATGACCTTACCTCAGGACTCTGGTTAGACCAGTGGTTCCCAACGCTGGTCCTGGAGGAGCACTATTCTACATGGTGTAGTTATTTTCCAGCACAAATTAGGTGTGTCAAAGCAAGGAAACATCTAAATTGTGTAGGACAGTATTCCTGGAGGACCAGGGCAGGGAACCTCTGGGTTAGACAATGCAGCCATAAAATACTTACCGGTACATGCTTATGTGCTTTCCAGAGCAGTTATGTTCTGATCTGGCTTAGACTGATGACAGCAGTGGTAGTGTAATGTTTTAGGTTGTTGGCAGGCTAAAATGTAGATTTTTCTGGTCACTTTGGACTGATGAGTGTTTCTTTATTTCAGTGTGAAGCACAGGAACATCAAACAGACTTCTGGTGTTTCTGATTTTAGATCTGGCTCAGGGCCGCAGCTACTGGAACCGTCTGAGGTTCCTTGATGTTTGTGAAGTTGCCACAGAGATTTTCTCTCGAAAATACTTCAACAAACACTTTGTTATCCCAGCGCTGGAGCTTGTCCACGATCCTGTCCCCAATGTGAGGTAGATCAGAACTTTTGTATCAAATGAAGGGCTAACGATTGTTTTCTATCAAACTCAGAGTATTTGACAGTCAACCTACTGGACTCATCTGTCCGTTCTCAGGTACAAGCTCTGCCAGTTGTTGCCACGGATGCGTTCATCACTTCACCTGCCAGCTGACAAAATACTGCTGCAGAAACTTGACTTCTGTGTCCAGAAACTTCTCTGCAGGGAGAAAGACAAAGATGTGGTGGCCATAATTCGAAAGGTAAGTCCTACCAAATATTGATCCTAAGTGGGAACTAAAGATGTGTTTCACTGGTTCATTGTTGGGTGTTTAACAATATTTATCATGTTTTCTAGACAGTGTTGGAACTAGACAAACTGGACCTGTCTGAGCCTGTAAGGAAAAGGTTCAAAGAACATTAAAACAATGAGTACATGCATCTGTTTCTTGACACCTTGATGTTTGGTGTTCCTCAACAGTTTCTTAAGAGACACGAGTGGGACTTCTTGGATCAGAAGAAGGAGAAGGAGGAGATGCTGCTCTTGGAGATGGTGAGTCTGAGACACGCTGCTGGTTTTCAGTGTGACTTTTTTAACGGATGTGTTGTTTTGTCAGGAACAGCTAGAGCGACACCAGAGTGATGGGAAGCTAAACCACACAGATAGAAAACGTGAGTCAAACCTTCACTGTTAAAATAATTTCAGCAAACATATAAACTTTACTTTATTCAAGTATTTCTTCCAACAGGAAGAGATGGTAAGACCAGTCTGTCTTCCACCAAGTCCATGTCCATGTCCTCATCCACAGCAGCCTCATCCTCCAGTAAGATGATGATGATGATGATGGTGGTGGTTAATCTTTGGTTACAATGATAATGATGTCTCCTCTCTATGCAGGTAAAGAGACGAGGAAGGTGAAACTGTCACGCAGTAGGTCCCTCAGCAGCCAGCCAACAACATCCAAACCCATGAACTTAGACCGCCTTCTGTAAGAACTCCTGCCTACCTGCCCTCACATTTACCTGCTTTCACCTGTCAGACTTCAGATTACTCATCTGTTTACAGATCAGTCTACTTTCCTATCCTCATCTATGGTCATGAACTTTGGGTAGTGACCGAAAGAACAAGATCGCAGATACAAGCAGTCAAAATGAGTTTTCTCAGCAGGGTAGCTGGTAGAAGAGTCCAGGGGAGACTCAAGGTAGAGCCACTGCTCCTCCACATCGAGAGGAGCCAGTTGAGATGGTTTGGGCATCTACTAATGATGTCTCCTGGACGCCTCCCTAGGGAGGTGCTTCAGGCATGTCCAACTGGGAGGAGACCCCGAAGACGACTCAGGACACACTGGAGAGACTATGTCTCTCGGCTGGCCTGGGAACGCCTTGGAGTCCTCCCAGAAGAGCTGAGAGAGGTGGCTGGGGAAAGAGAGGTCTGGGCTTCCCTGCTCAAGCTGCTGCCCCCATGACCCAACTTTAGATAAAGCAGAAGATGGATGGATGGATGGATGGATGGATGGATGGATGGATGGATGGATGGATGGATGGATGGGTATTGACTAGTAATGCTTAGTGTTGGGGAAATGTCTGGGTTCGGAATAAATGCAGTTAGAAAAATGAATGAAAGTCGATGCAAAGTCTTCAGTATGACAAGCATGCACGTGTGTGTGTGTGTGTGTGTGTGTGTGTGTGTGTGTGTGTGTGTGTGTGTGTGTGTGNGTGTGTGTGTGTGTGTGTGTGTGTGTGTGTGTGTGTGTGTGTGTGTGTGTGTGTGTGTGTGTGGACTGCACACATTAAATCCTCTGTCCTGGTTCTGTAGAGTTCAACTAATGATCCAGATGAACCCATGAGCAGGTTTAAATGATCTGGAACTTTTCTGTCTTTCAGAAAGGTCAAGGATCTAGGCAGTTCTGGACCAGGAAAGTCCACTAAAGGTATCTGCACACCTGACCATCAGCCAAAGTCTGTTATTGTCTCTGTGTTTACATCACTTCCTGTTTTTCGCAGATGACTCACTGAGGACCACCCACTTCACTTTGACTACCCAGTCCACCTCATCTATGCCAGTTCTGATCCGCAGCAACACCACCGGCCTCCTGGATCAGGCCAGTGCATTGGAGCAGAGAGACCTCAGAACCAGTACCTCAGACCAAAGAGACCACAGAAGCAGTACTGTGGACCAAAGAAATCATAGAACCAGCAGCTTGGATCAGAGAGAACACAGAACCAGTACCCTGGACCAGAGAGACAACAGAACGAGCACTTTGGACCAGAGAGACCACAGAACCAGCAGCTTGGACCTGATAGACCACAGAACTAGTACCTTGGACCAGAGAGTCCTCAGAACCAGTACCTTGGACCATAAAATGCTCAGAACCAGTACCTTGGGGCAGCGCAGTAAAACCATAGACCATGGCTGTGGGATGAAGGACAGTCAGACCAGGAAGTTGTCCATGTGAGTTCTGATGATCAAACCCAACTGTTTCATGTTCTTGTGTGGTTTCAGGGTCTTGGACTGGGTCAGAAATATCACAGTATCACCTACATCAATTTTATTAATTTAGAAACAAGCATAGATCCAGTGGTTCTATACGAATACTTGACTCATAGCTAAAGTCGGTCAGCGCAGAAGAACCAGAACCACAAACGATTCTGAACCTCATGAACTTTTTGAGACGTGAATAAAATGTTTTTTCAGCCAAATCCCAACAGTTCAGACCTCCATCAGGTCTTTCAGGGCAGTCCTTATGGGTTTGGGTTTTTGTGGTTTAACCCTGTTTCTGTTCAGACCAGCCTGGTTTAGAACTGGTTCATCCTGGATTAATCTGATTCAAGACTAGGTTTAGTTTGACTTAAACGTCACTGGTCATGATTCTAGTTTGTTCAAGTTTAGTTCTGCTGTTGACCCTGTTCTGCTTGACTTGGATCTGGTAATTATTTAACTCTGACCCTGTTTAATTCTTGGTTGTTTCTGCTTTAACTCTGAGTCTGTCTAAAGCCAGTTTGAATGTATCTGTATGCTTTGGTCGACAGAAACAGGAAGTCGGGTTCTTTCCAGTCTGGGCAAGACTGAGAGTGATGAGGTCATCTTACCTACCCTGGATCTCCAGCTCATCAGCTGCTTGGGAGCAGCTTCCTTCCAGACAGAAGATTCAAGATATTACCCAGAATGCAACGCAGCATCATGTCTACCTTAAAGAGGCAGCTGACTCTGATTGTACCCACTGATCACTGTGTATGGTGAATGTAAACCTTCACCTGAGTGGATCAGTAAAACACACATATGCAGGCATTTGGCATGTTCTGATTGGATGGACCTTTATGCTGCTGGTTTGTGATTGGTTGGATAAGTGCTTATGTCACAGCAGCAGCCACTATGAGTTAAACATGACAAAGGCAGTGGTGAAACATCAAAAATATAAAAACTGAACTAAAATTGTTCACATTTTCTGTTGCAAATTGAATCTGTTGGTTTTAAAGTGGGTTTTAAAGAAGAAATGCAAGAATCATCCATCCATCCATATAAATAAAAAAACTCAGAACAAAAGTTTTGCAAAGTTTGTCTCAGATCTAAATTGAAATGGGCGGCTGTAGCTGAGTAGTTAAAACAATCATCCTCTAGTAAGAAAGTTAGGGGTTTGATTCCACCACTATTCAGTCGCATGTTGAAGTGTCCCTGGGCAAGACACTGAACCCAGTGCCTGTGATGTGTCCCATCAGTGTCTGAACGTGATCTACAGCACTGATTAGTCTCTCTGTAGAATGATTTATACACATTAGCTTTGTAGAGCAGTATAGCTGAGTGCTGATGTGTGTGTGTGTAGATTTGTGTGTGTGTGGGTGGGTAAACGAGGGCAGTGTTTGTGTTGTAAAGTGCTTTGAGTATCATGGCTGGACAGAAAGGCGGCATAGAAGTGCAGTACATTTAAACTTGTTTTAAAATATGTTGAAAAAACAGCTTCAAGTGAGATCTTCCATCATCGATCCCTCCATCCATCTTCTGGCATTTATCCAACACCAGGGTTCAAAAGCAACATATTCAGGAGGTCCCAGACCTCTTTTCCTGAGCAACAGTCGGAGTCAGAAGCAACGAGGTATACAGTATTGAATAGAGGCGCCATCACAGGATTTTCCTTAATAACAAAGAGAGGCCATATTGTTCAGGGCGAGGACAGCTTGACAGCACTGTTAGCTGGTAAAGCTGAATGTGGTAACTAAGGCTCCTTTTCCACTAGTGACTAGTGTAGTGTCGGTACGGTCAGTGTCGGAACAGGTCAGTTCGGGAGCTTTTCCATTGACCTTCCAGTCCAGTTCCAGTGGGTGTGTTTTGGGCAGTTGGTGGAGGTGGTTTTTGGGTTTTTCGAAAACAATGTGCAAAATGAGAGATGGAAACACATTTGCTGAATAAGTTCTGAAATTTAAAAAATTTGCTAAAAATTTGAATTAAAATTGGATGGAAACACGACTAATGTCACTGCTACAATTGAAAAAATGGTGTCTCAAGTAGTTGTTGTAAAGGCAGCTCAGATGCAACCAGTGACTCCACCCCCAACCAATCAGTGACAAACAGTGTTCTGACGTCGCATTTTGGTGTCGACTGAGACAGCTTGGAACCACAACGAAGTAGGTACTAAATAAGGGCCGGTTCCATGAATCTGGCCTAATGGAAATGGCTTGGAACCATACCAAACCGTACCGACACTACACTAAGTGGCACTTGTGGAAAAGGGGCTTATGACGTTAAATTTAGGTCAGCACTTCAGTGAAATTCAGTTTGCTGTTGACAATAATTAATCTGATTTGATAGCAATGCTTGTCAGTAAATATTAGACAAAAACAAACTGCCAAATCTACAATGGCATGAGGTTTCTAATAGGCAGAAGCTAGCCAATGAAAAACTAACATTTATATGCACTTCTGCTTGGAAATCCAACCATGTTAAATTGTATACATTGACAGCTTGCCCCTTCCAATATGGCGTAGTGCTTGTACCACAGCTGTCAATCTTATGAAGGGTGTGGGACGCCTCTAGCCAATATACCTCATGGGTCAGAAGTTTCCATCCACCCATCCTGGACATGAAGATCAGATCATTTTGAACTTTTAATAATTTATTTTATTCTTATTTTTCACGGCGAAATGATTACACAACATACAACTTAAGTGATTTAAAGAAGTGGATGCACAAGCTTAATATTTTTTGCATTTAGGCTAACGCTAACAATTATGCTAACTCAATGGTTCAGGATACTGATATGCCTGACGATGCAGGCATAGTGCTAACTGTACATGAATATAATTAGATGCTACCTTCATAATGCAAAATGTACACGAATAATAATAATACAGTGATAAATGATCCTAAGAGCAGATTAATGTTATAATAATTGGTATGATGCTAAATGGATATATTTTTATTTTTATGATGCTTATGTAGAGAAATGTAACCTGTGTCATCCTAACATAAATGGGACGAAGGTTAAGAATGTTATTTATCAGTAAACAAATACCAAACATCAAATGAGAATTAGAATTTTAGGTAAATACTAGGATTACTTCTGGAACTCTCAGGTGACCCCCAGGACACCTTGAAGGGTCACAACTTTCATGTTGAGCACAACAGACAGACAGGACACGACACTGGAACCTGACAGGTGTACAACAGGGTGGGTGGAGCTTGTCCCCATCAGGCAATGGTTTATTTCTCTGTGGGGTTGGTGACTCGGCCCATAAAGAGCAGGCCGCGGGTGGCCTCCTGGTAGATGATGAAGACGAAGGGCCTGTTGAAGGTCAGTCGCGGTGGCGGTGTAGAGAACAACCTGCTTCCTGAGATGCTGACGTCAGCAAGGTTCTCATTCACTGTGACGACAGATTTATGATGAACCTGACAGCAAAGAGGTCAGAAAGGAGGACACTTTATGAACGTGTAGGAAAAAATATGACCCCAAAAAAGACCTGGCATGATCCAGAACATCCCAGAGAGATGAGTGTCACACTGCAGTGCCTTCCAACAGCAGGAAGTGAACATGAACAGTTAGGGGTGCTCGATATTAACATCCGATATTGATTTCCCACTTTTTAGCTGTAGTTTCTGCTTTGGGAGGGGAGATGGTTGAGCGGCATCTGTTTGATCATGATAGTGATATTGACTCTGTGTAGCCAGGAATAACTGAAGTAGGGAGCCATGTCAGAGGTCTGGTTGTTTATTTACAGTATCAAAAAAGGACCCAAGTGTGTTCGTGCATTTATGTATAATATGTGTATAATATGTTTGTGCAATATCGGTAAATATCGGTTATCGGCCATAACAGCAATGATTTATATCGGATAAGTATATCGGCTGTAATTTTCATATCTGTTAGGGCAGCTCACCACAACCCTCTCAACACCCCCCTTCAGTGGGTTACTGGTTAAGATGTAAAAACACCCCAACCGTGATAAAGACCGTTTACACGTGATCTTGACATGAAAAAGAGCACATCAGTTTAAAATAAACAAAAGCAAAGGCAACAGAACAATCAGTTTCACTTTAATGAAATACATGAAAGGCTCAGGTGAGTGTCTTAAAGGGGCAATATCATGTAAAATCAACTTTTTTGAGTTTTATATCATGTTATAATTTTATGCTCTCATAAAAAACATGCCCAAAGCCTTGCTTTGACTCATTCATGCGTGTTTGAGAAATCCTGCAGTGTTTTTAGGAAGCCATGCTGAGGAGCAAAACGACAGGTGGGGACCAGAAACGCCTCTGGGATGTGTCTCCAAGCCAAGCTTCCTCAGCACGGAGCACACCTCCCCACCCCAAACACCCCGCCCATGACTCCTGCAGGCTCTTGGCAGTAACAAAGCAAATGAGTGAAACTGAAAGTGAAAGTGAAACCGTCTGCTGAGCTCCTAACACTATTTCTCACTCAGTGAAACTCACCTCAGATTCAAAATACCATTGAGGAAATGTATTGTCAGATGCCAATTAAAATGCATCATAGCGCACGTACGATCACCCCCCCCACCCTGAAATGGGCGGGACAGAAGCGGAAGGTGGTTCTTAAAGAGACAGAGGCCAATTTCAAGGCATTTAGAAGAGGAAATGATAAGACAAGTTTATTTTCTATTTAAACATAAAAGCAGCATTTTAATAACAACTAAAGGTGACATAGATACTTTATTATGGTATAGTATTTAAATGTAAGCCTAAGAAATAATATTGCCCCTTTAATGCTCACGGGCTACACTCAGCTCGTTAACTGTCTCAAAAACAAAATCAGAAATCAAATTTTATTAATTTTTCTCACTCACCTGAGAGAGTTTCGCTCCTCTAATTTCACCCATATTGCTGATGTCAGCATCATCCTGAAAGACCGTAACAATGTCCAGGGTCTGAAGGACATCTTTTAGGGTGTAAGAACGCTCCAGTAGGAAGCGAGGAAGCTGCACCTCCAACTTCCTGTTTACAAAAAAAAAAAAAAAAAAACATATGACAACATCAAAACAAAAGCAGCAAACAGAAGAAAAAAGCACAAAGTCCAGAGGGAGGATGAAGAGCTGATGAAGGACTGTGTTGGAGGAAAAGGACATAAAGAAGAGCAATGTCCTCACGTTTTCTTCAGCTGCTGGATCCAGGTCTGGATCTTCTCAAATGTCACTTCCTCCTCCACAGTGGTCAAGTCTACACCATCATCGGGCAGCACCACCAACATGGCCGCTCCGTCCGCCATGGGCAGCTTCAGCACTCCAGCCTTCACCAGGCCGTCGTATGCCAGGAAATACTTATCAGCTCGGAACATCATGGGAACCATGACTACATGGTACCGGTCCACGTAAAACCGCTCGTCCTGAGTGAACGAGGAGTTAAAGGGTGGGTCGAACTGGGCTGGGACACAACACAGAAAAACTTTATAAGAAAAAACCTTAACCAATAGCACAACCCTAATCTGTTCTCAGCGGACTCTGATGTTTTGAAGGATTCTGCCCCCTGATGTGTCGTCACAGAGGTGGGCAGTACTTACTTTGTAATCTGGCAGCAGTGGCAATTAGCAGCTGGGTTTGGGGGTCCATGGTGGAGAGCAGGTCCTGGAACTCATCTCCCATCTGATCCTGGACCCAGCGATTGATGGTGCCAACGGCCTCAGAGGGCACATTGTAGGACAGACTCTGGACCACACCGTCAAACTTTGTCTGAACCAGTTGTTGGTAGGACTCAGAGACCTGGAGATTCTGAGAGGGGAAGACTGCCATGGCAGTCTGGAGGTTCGAGGATAGTTGTCCTGGAAGGACCAGATTCTTCAGAGTCTGGAACTGATCTGGGACCAGAAGAGAAGTACATTAGACCTAAAGCTCAGTCCCAAGTTCGGACCCACATTTTCAGACTCCAACAACCAGAATACAGAAACCATCCAAAGTGTTTGTTCTTGTTTTTATTTCAGCTAGAAATCTTGATAAACCGAGGGTTAATTTCCAACATGGAGACACAGATGGTCTTCATGATTTGATTTCATCCCCCAAATTCTAGCTAGCATCAATATTTTCCATGAATTGTCCTCAGCTTGACTAAAATGCAGCTGCTAAACCTCTGATCTGGTCAGAAAGCTAAAAGGAAACACTTGTCGAACATTATTTTGTCAAACTGCCACAAACCTTGTATATTGTTTAAAACTATTGATAATGTCCTTAATGTCCCACAAACTGCCTACATTGAACCATCATTTGAGGCATGTGAAAAGTTTTTATTTGTGCTCAGATAGTATCTACCTTACTTCTGCCCCAGCAGTCTTCTGCTTTGCTGGTTTTTACTATTTTGAGCCGGGTTCTAAAGTGTTTTAAGGAAATGTTTGACCATCGTAAGCCCTCAGGCTCATCTATGGATGTGCTTCCTAGGTGTTTCAAAGATGTAATTTCTACTTTGGGGTCTTCTGTGCTTGCTGTTATTAACAGTAGTCTGTCCTCGGTTGGTTTAGTGCAACCTTTGGTTAAAAAGCCTAGTCTGGATCACACAGTATTGTCGAATTTTTGGACTTTTCTTTCAAAAGCATTGGAGAAAATTGTCTATATACAGCAAATAACATTCCTGAGGTTTTTCAGTCTGGATTTAAATCAGGTCGCAGAATCTGCATTGCTCAGGGTTTTTTAATGTATTCTTTTAGCCACAGACTCTGAAAATTATGGGATCTTGATTATATTGGATTAACAGCTGCATTTGATACTGTGGACCACCAAAGTTTAATTTCTTGCATAGAACACCTTATAGGCATTCGAGGGACTGCTCTTGCCTGGTTTAGGTCCTGTCTGACAGAAAGGACATTTTGTGTCAGCCTGGGAAATTTCAAATCTTCCTCTGTTTCTCTTTCTTGTGGAGTTCCACAAGGCTCAGTTCTTAGGTCACTCCTTTTTTCATTGCATTTACTTCCCTCAGGTTCTAACTTTAGAAAGCACAAATTTTCTTTTCATCTTTATGCTGATGACTGCCTGATATTCTTCACATTTACCTGAAAAGAAGAAAGACACTCTACACAGTCCACATTTGAGTGCTTCCATGAAATAAAGGCCTGGATGACTTTTAACTTCCTTCATTTTCATGATAAAAAGACCGATTTTGTGTTTTTAGTCCTGGGGCCTCCTTCACCCTCTGTAGAGTTTGGCACTCTGGCACAGTACCTGAAACACGTCACCAATAATCTTGGGGTCAGACTGGACAATGGTTTTAACCTTGACAGGCAGATCACTTCAGTGGGGACGTTAGTTAATTCCCTATATTGTGGTGTCTCACAGACACCCCTCTCTCGTCTCCAAATGGTGCAGATTGCAGCTGCCTGTCTTTTAACTGGTACACAAAAGAGAGAGAACATAACTCCAGTTTTAAGGATCTTTTGATTTGTTTTTAAATCTTTAAATGGTCTGGCCACACTTTGGTCAGTTTTGCTGTTTCAAAAGTTCTTATAAATAAAGGTAAAGGTGCTTTATTTGTCATCAGTGTATGTTTCCACACAATGACGAAATTGTGCTCTGCATTTAACCCATCCACACCCAAGTGGAGCAACGGGCAGCCATGTGAGGCGCCCGGGGAGCAGTTAGGGTTGGGTGTCTTGCTCAAGGACACCACGACATGTGGGTATGGCGGGGAGTCGAACCTAAGACTTTCGGGTCCCAAGCCGGCTGCTCTACCACTACACCACAGCCGCCGCCAAATAAAGCTGGCTTGACTCCAGGTGCTCCAGCTTTACTGATCTGTCTCTACTGGGTCCATGTTCAATTCAGAACTTAGTTCAAGATTCTGATTTGGACATTTAAACAGTTGCATTGTGAAGCACCTTTATAGGTTTCTAAACTTTTACAGCCGTATGTCAGAACCAAGACCCCGAGGTCCACTGATAAGAGACTGGTCTTTCCTGTCCCCCCAAACCCAGCTGGCCAAGGCAGATGGCTGCCTGTCTTGAGCCTGGTTCTGGTTCTGCTGGAAGTTTCTTCCTGTTAAAAGGGAGTTTTTCCCTCTCCGCTGTCACCAATGTGCTGCTCAGGATGGAGACTGATGAAGTGAAGATTCAACACAATCTGCTGACTTCTTTAGATTGATTGTTTTGTGTACAGTACGCTGAGATGACGTTTGTTGTGACTTGAATTGAATGTGCACCATATATTAAAACCAAGACCCTGACAAGACCTTATCTGTCCTTAAATCCAGACTAAAAACAGAAGGAATGTTTACAATGGTTCCTCTTCCCTTTCATTTGATACTCTGTGGACACAGAGGATTTATCTAAAAAACAGCTGAAGACTCAAGGTTCAACTCCTGTCCTCTAGCTCCTACCTGGTATTGTCTCTGGGTCCAGTCCGGTCAGGGTAAGTCCCTGCAGCAGCTGGTCTCGGGTTGGACCATTGGTGGCACTGAGGAGCGCCAGCATTCCAGCCGACAGCGAGAACGGAGACAAGACAACGTTACTGTCAGTGCGGCTGGCAACCGCCCGGTACAGTCGAGCTCCAAAGTCTGCATTCTTGTTGATTAGGTCCTCCACAGCTGGGTCGATGCTCTGAGCCGGACTGAGCAGGTGGACCAGGAGTGACAGGAGGAGGATCGTGGGAGCCATTGTGTCCTCTGCTGGAGCAGAACCCAAGAGAACACGCATCAAAACCAGTTTCTGCTACCAAAGCGTGGTTCACTGAGAACATCCTTCATAAAACAGTTTCTGAGCCCCTGGCTTCTGTATCCCACCTTTCTGATGCCAATGAGAACTAAACACGGATCACACTTCAGACTGCAAGTCCAAAAAAAGTTCTGATCATTTTCACATCATGTTGTTGTACTTTTCTAACGAACATCAACGAAAATAAACATCAAAATGTTTCTAATGATCTGAATATAAAAAGATTTTAAAAATTGTTTAGTTTCAACTGCAGAGTTGCTGTCAGCAAAAACAAAACCACAAACCTCTGAAAACGTCTGCAATAAAATTACAAATACTAGCCGAAAGAACTACAGCTGATTTAACTACCAGCCGAAAGAACTACACCCAACTTAACTACCAGCCAAAAGAACTACAGCTGATTTAACTACCAGCCGAAAGAACTACACCTAACTTAAATACCAGCCAAAAGAACTACACCTAACTTAACTATCAGCCAAAAGAACTACACCTAACTTATCTATCAGCCAAAAGAACTACACCTAACTTATCTATCAGCCAAAAGAACTACACCTAACTTATCTATCAGCCAAAAGAACTACACCTAACTT